GATGCATGATGGTGATGCCCACTTCGAGCTCAATGGTGTCATTTGAGAATCAACATCATAGACAATCTAAATCAAAAAAATAAATGGTCTGGAATCAATTTTCTTGGTTTCATAATCCCTTCATCATAGGTCAATTTTTTTAAAAAATAATTTTAAAATTATAAATTTAATATAAAAGGGTATATGATTTTTTTTTGAAAATATTGTTTTAATTTTGAAAAATGAGACCGAATGGATCTCAGTTGTCTAATAGCTCGCATAATCGTGTCTGATATCGCGAATAATACACCTTCTCAAAAGATAAGTGTATATCTCGGCGATGGACCCAATCATGCAACTAAGAGATTTGTGATATCTGTTTGGTCTGCAAACATTTTATTTGACCGACAAGTTCTCCTACCTAATATAAATATTAGGTATTGTTTATTTTACCTGGATATCAAGTTTCATATAGCGGCAAGCCCCCATAGTTAATTACATCTTAAATGATCGAGATCATTTGAGAAAATTCTCGATAATGATCAAAAGTACTAGTCTTCACAAATTCAATGTTTAGGTTTTCACAGTAGAATGCGGAAAAACAATTGAGAGTGGCTCAAATAAGAACAGTTAATTTTAGGAGTCGAAGGAAGAAAACAGTATGGGAAGTCACAGATCCTGAGAAGAGTCCTCAGTAATTTCCCAAATTATCATATTATGTGGCTGTGTTTTGGAAACAATGTTATTTATTTGTTCAATTCTATAAAATTTATTATTTAGGACATACACTTTCATAATATCTGATTATGCAAATAACTTAGAAGGATATGAGGGTTTACGTTGTATGAAACAATAACTTCGGAATCTAAGCAGAGTTAAGACTTACGCTGCATAACATGGTTGGACAGAAGCCTAAAGAAAATGTGAGGAATTATGTCGCGCTGGGCAAGCAACCTCGAAATCTTATGGGTTGTTATTTATACTAGGGAGAGCTTGCTGAAAAAGATTCTCTTGTTGCTCGATCCAAGCTCCTCGACGTGTTGCCCATAAAGTTGGCTCTGAGCCTCTTGTTGTAGTAGTAGCTTCATGGTTTAACGATTTGAGGTTCGTGATTTATATGTCATATTTTAGTTTGTTTGTTGTTGTTGTTTAAATGTTAAAATGTTCAGGGGAAATTTTAATTTAATTTGAGCGACACTGGTTAAGGTCTCACGGTTCCATCATTTTGACATCACTATTTTCTTTTAAATTTACTTAGTTTAAATGAGTTATTAAACCCATTTAGACTGAAAAATTCCCGTTAGCAACCATAGGTTATCTCATCCGAGAAATACTCGTAAATCCAAAAGAGGTGGATTAAGGGCGTTCACTAGGTTTAAAAGTGTATAAATTTTCGAAAATGCATTTTTGTGATTTTGTACATATGTAATGTAAGTAAAACAAGCATAGTAAAGTAAGAACAGGACAACAAAGTAAAGTAGTAAGAGAGCAGTAAATAACTATAAATGTGTACCTGGGTCTCTGCTACTGTTGCAAGGTTAGTATCATATGTGAAAGTAAGCAGGTAAGGCTAAGGATTTCATGAGCATATGTAAGTAAAAGAACAGGTGACACATGAAAGCTCGCAGAGGACCTGTAAAGATTCAAGTCAGGGTGGGCTCAGAGCTATGTTGTGTGATTTATAATCCAACTTTGGATAGAAGCTACCGACTCAAACAATCTCAGGAGGACAACTCCTGACCACAATCAAAACAATTAACCAGTAGATCTTTATAAATTTTTTTCAAAGATTTATTCAACTTTTCATGCATGTAGAGTTTATTTAGCAGACAAAAGTGTTGTTGCAAATAGATTTCTTTTTTTTTATTTTTTTTAGCATATGTGGAAATGCGAGGAGTGTAGTATCAGTGTAAGTGTGTGAGGACATGAAATAGTCCACCGGTTGCTCGCTTCAATCTGGTTAGAATTACCTAGCAACCTAAGAGAGTCGGCGGCAACTTCGCACTAATAATTGGAGAATGATATCATTGATCCTACTCTCCCCTCATTGAAGGTCATCAATGCGGGAGGTACCATTCTGTTCTCCCACTCTAGTACACAAAAGCACCGTCATCATTGCCCTAAAAAAAAAATAGAACGAGGGGTGAAAGAGAGGAGCCTGACCCAACTCCCAAAATCGGCAAGACAACAGATTAGCACAGCGAGTGAGTCAGCTCAAAGGAGTGTTAAAATAGTAATCGAGTGAAACCCAAAACAATAGACTAAGGGGCTCCCTAAAACCAACTCCAAACCACAAGCACAAGCTCCCAAAACTGCCCCTAAATCATCACTTAAATAGCCCCAAACAGCTCCTTTAAATATTCCAAAACAGTGTGTAAATCAACACTTAAATGCTACATAAACCTCTCCAAAACAGAGTATAAAACAGCCCCAAAATGATAATTTTTAAGTCTCCAAAACAGTGAATAAAACAGCCTCCAAATGATATTTTTATGTCTCCAAAATAGGGAATGAAACAAAACCAAAATGATAAGTTTAATGCCACCAATACAGTGGATAAAACAGCCCCAAAATGATTTTTTTGTCTCCAAAATAGCGAATAATATTTTTATGTCTCTGAAACATGGAATAAAACAGCCCCAAAACAATGGGTTTAATGCCTCCAAAACATTGAATAAAACAATCCCAAATCGGTACGTAAAATGGGTCCAAAATAAAAAAAACAGTGCATAAACAGGCCCAAATCGGTGCCTAAAATGGTTCCAAAAACAGTGCAAAAACAGTGCATAAACCAGCCCCAATCGGCACCCGACAAAAACAGTGCAAAAACAGTGCATAAACCAGCACAAATCGACACCCGAAATGGGTCCAAAACAGTGCATAAACCAGCCCCAATCGGCACCCGAAATGTCTTCAGAAACAGTGCAACCAGCCCAAATTGGCGACTAAAATGGCTCCAAAACAGTGCATAAACAAACACATAAACCAGCCCAAATTGGCGCCTAAAATGGCTCCAAAACAGTGCATAAACAAACACAAATCGGCGCCTAAAATATCTCCAAAAATAATGCATAACCAGCCCAAATCGGCACCCAAAATGTCTTCAAAAATAGTGCATAAATTGCTTCAAAACAGTGAGCAAATCAACACCTAAACGCTACATATATCTCTTCCAAAACGGCAGGTAAGCCAACCCCAAGAAGATGCATTTAAACCTTCCCCAAACAATGTACAGTCTACAGAGAAAAAAAAATTTCCTGTCACATATGCAAGTATTAGAGTTCCAAGTGTGAGGTGTGAATGTAAAGGGCAAAATCTAAGCGCTAGATATGCAAACATATATGAATCGAGTGGTATGTATGTAATTCTCTCTTATTTCATTCCTCATACTCATTTTTTGTGGAATCTCCAAAGTATTACAAACGTCGAATCTTTCAGATTTTTCTTATTCTTTTAAAACACTTTCAGGTTTGCATAAAGCCAAACCAACTGGATTCCCCATTCACATAAAGTCAAGTCAAATGAAACTCCTAACCCGCATGAAACTCATTTTTAATGTTCATGATCTCTGAACAATCATTTTCCAACGTTTACAAATACCGATGAGTTGCCTAACACAAAAACAATTTATCCTAAGGAAATACCTATCAGAAGAATAATTATTTGTGATTGAAATATAGAGTCAATATATTCCTCGTAGCCATAGAAAGTTATAATGGTGAATGATTACACCAAAACATCATACGATAATCATTGTCCCACAAATACTGTTTTTATTTGTCTAAATTTTAAGAAGTATGTTTTTTAAATCCCTTGATTTCTTTTTTATATGATCAAAAAGAATTTTTCATTCAAAATCCAACACTGAAATCTGCGTGAATTTACAGCATAACACCCACCTAGGAAATCATTTTTTAAAAGTATTTAAAACAATGGTGGTACTGGAACTAGTTCAGAACTCGGCAGAAATGAAAGCAAACTTTTATTAACTGGAAAGGAAAATACAACACTAATATCCGGCTAGGGCCAGAAGAGAAGATTCGAGAGCGGTGGTGGCATCCGCAAAGTGGTGGTTGAGGGGCAAGGGGGCTGGACAGCGAAGGTTGCTGTCGGGAAGGGAAGGATGGGGTGCTGGTAGGTGGACAGCAGGCTAGACAGAAAAGTGTCGCAGCAACAAGGGGGCGGCAGGGTAGATGGGAGGCGATGGGATGGTCGGCAACTAAAGGAGGTGAAGGAGAAGAGGTAGGGAGGGAGATAGGGGAGGATACAACACCACCTCGGAGCAGGATACAACTAAAGCACCAACATCGTCAGATACAACCCTAGCAAGGGAAGAGGAGACTCCACACAATCTGAAAACATAACCAGTCTCCCCAGATCAAGTTTGTCTGGTTCATCTGCCAATCAGTTCAACCGGCTGCCTCAGCCCCACGTCAAATGGCCTCCTCTCTAGAAGTGAAGAGTCATGAAGTTAATGGCAAGCAGCTGGTAACCGGCAAAAGTGTGAAAAAAGAACTTAAAATTGGGCCGACAAAGAAAGTATTTTGATGATGGTCCGTCAATGAAAAGCTCCGATTTGAAATGAATCGTTGAGATGAAGCTTAGGTTGACATGTTTTTACGAATTGTAGAGTACAAACAACAAGATTACATGGGTAAAAGTCATCCATCCTCAGCTAATGAGCTAGATAATACACGTTGCTAACAAAAGGTAAAATTTTAGGTCAAACATCCCATAAAATATCCAGTGTTTGAGAAAATTGGACTTCACAGGAATCAATGGACCTGCTAAGCACAAAATTTTCCTCAGTTGGAGGAACATGGAGAACACGAAGAATCAGAACTTCAAACAAAGCACTATTTGTAGCCTTTGCTTTCCAGAAGTTTGCAATTTTGAAATCTAATGCTTTTGCATGAAAGGGGTCAGTCAATATACCAGATAAATTCAAACTAACGAACATGGATCTGAGAAAGAAACATAGAAATCACAGTAGTCAAAGAATAAAAGGGCTTGATTCGTACAAAGCACTGTGTCTCAATTGCACGAGCACGGAGAAGAACTTCCCAGTGAGCCGCACCAGTTACCTTCGTGAAAGCTGATGGCACCAACAAAACCTAAAAAAGATTGCTCAAAAGAGGAAAAAAATAAACAATAAAGATGAGATATTTAGTTATAAATCATCTCAACTTTACATGACATAAGAAACCTGTGCATTATTCTCAAAACGAAGCAGTTGGTATAACTCGGGAAACCTTAAATCATAGCAAACTGTGAGACCTAATCTTCCAGCAGGACTGTCCTCCACAACAATAGCATTCCCTGAAAACATTTTTTACGATAACAAGCAACACTGTGCTTAAGCTTCAGAACCATCATAATGTGTAATTTTTAATTTAAAACAGCTATCCTTCTCTAGTAGTATCAAATATAAAGCTAATAGGAAGGTACGTGATCGTGAGCTGTAATATACTCAGATATTGCAGTACACAAACAATTAAGTCATCAAGTATCCACCAAGTGCATGAGAGTTTCATATGCTATTACTAATAATCCCTACTCTCATTCAAAAACAACAGGGTAGCAAGAATTATGATGGAGAGATTAAAACAATGCCCCAGTGCAGCATGTTTCCGCCCTTCCAAGGTCCTTTTTCCGTTGCTTAGCCGGCTGTGCCGATGCTGGATTGCCCTACAATACCTACCTCCTTGTTGACCTCATTTTTGGTGAGGTCTAGTCCTCCTCTTAGGATTTAGGATCTAGCCTTAGGGATCTCCCTTTGACTATCTTAGAACCTTTGAAATGGGACCCGCCTCGTTTTAGAAATTCAACCCACTTCTGTACTCTTTTGTGGTTTTGCGTGTGTGGTATCGACTTCTAGCACTTAGAAGGATGAAACTAACATGAGGAAACCCAAAAGGGATTCCTATAGGACCTTTTAAGCCTTAGGGTGGCCTTCTGCAAAATTCGCACTCCCGCGCGCACAAACTTCGCAATTCGGAGAGTCGACACGTCCGATCGCCACAATTCACATCTCTTGCCCTGTTACCTGTTGAAGGCTCGAATAAACCTTTTGAAACGATCGACCGCGTGTCGAAATTTTGTGAAATTTGAATTTTGACGCGTTTTTGACCCGATTG